AAATCTCGGAGATTTCGTGTATTCATTACCTTACATAAAGTTTTAAAAAAATCCGTGTTTTTGTTAACTTACACAAAATCTCGGGGATTTCGTGTATTCATTACCTTACATAAAGTTTTAAAAAATCCGTGTTTTTGTTACCTTACACAAAATCTCGGAGATTTCGTGTATTCATTACCTTACAATTACGCGTAATCTCTCGGACTTTGTGGAAGTTAACAACATACTCGGAATTTGTGAAACTTTAAACTACATATTCTACAGTGTTACGTGCCAAGAAAATATGAAGGACTTTGTGAAAGGTAACAAAACTACATACTCTGACAGACGTTCCTAGAAACTCAAGTGTGGTAATACAATACCTGCTAAGAGTCTCTGAGAATGTAATATCTACACAGAGAACATCTGATACATTCTGAAAACTAACTACATACTCTGACAGACGTTCCTAGAAACTCAAGTGTGGTAATACAATACCTGCTAAGAGTCTCTGAGAATGTAATATCTACACAGAGAACATCTGATACATTCTGAAAACTGATATGAATCTATAGTTTATCTTTCAAAAGGATAAGAAGTCTCTATTGTTCTTTCTCTTCTAAAAGATATATCACAAACTCTTGAAGAGAGAACGAGATTTTGAAGCACTTTAAGAAGAACAAAATTATAAAAATTACAATTCTCTGTACAGTACTTTAGTTAGGTTTTCATGTAACATCATAGTGGTGTATTAACCATCCCAGACGGTATCAGATTTACAGATGAATATAGCAAAATATGGAGGATGGGGGCTGAATAAAAGGTTGTTGCCTGCGTGTTTTTTTTTGTTTTGGTGGTGGTGGTGGGTTTAATAAGTACGTCATCCTGTTTGATCAACATGCGCAAGTAAGAAGTAGAGGCTCTTAGTAGGAACCTTTCATTAGACGAAGAATTGCGGCGTGGGTTATCCAGTGGACCAGTCACAACTTACAGTTGGGTTGACGCGGGATCTGGAGCTCCACCGTTGATTATAGGTTTCGTACTTACCCAAATTCATGTCCTTACATTTGTTTTCTTTGGTTGCTACTAGCACGTACAGAACGGTTAAAGAATGAGACAGATTACAGAAACAGTCTCGATACATTCCGATGCGAAGTGGGTCAGATTAGTAAGAAAGACATTTTCAACACTCTTAATTTGTTAAAAATAAATAGATAAAACAACGTTGTATTGCATATCACAGCTGAAGACTTTATACCGTTTTATACCAATAATACATCAAAATATTCAGTGCTGTTTCCGATTAGTTGCGTTTAACAACTTTTAGTATATACTACTGCTTTACGGCGTATTTTACATGAAACCTAATTGACAGTTAAAGGAGATTTACTTTGCCACTCTCGCAATAAAATGGTAATTGTGTTAAGAAGGAAAAACAGCGTAAAATGGTATTTTTTCCATGTTTGTTGTAATGCTTACTGGCTAGCGAAAATAATGTGATAATATCCAAGTATACAGTGGATAATGACGCCATAGGATAAAATACGACTTGATATACAGCGTATTTAAACATTTGAAATGTGCTATTTACTAACACGTATTTGCTCCATTATTAGCTAACCTCTCATTTACTCAAATCTGGCATTAATAGCGGTAGTGAGAACACTTTAGTTAACAGTATGCAACTGTGTTTGTCAATGCTTTGCTTAATTGCCTTTCTAACGTAACATGAGAAACACACATTTTAACCAAATACACCCATTACAAGAGAACGCCTTCAGCTCATTTTTCACCGAATACAGAGAATAACTTTCCTGTTGTAGTATGTATATTAGTACTTTTCCTCAGAACACAAGAGAAGGATGTCAAACACATACTAATAAACAAAATAATAACCCAACTTCTGTTACGTTTAGCTTGTTTTCTTTCTCATTGGCTAGATAGATACATTTACCAATTGATTTGGTGTGGGTCTACCTATGTTTACCGGTTTTTATAATCCTCCTTTTCTTTCAGTCTTAACACTGCTTTTTATATATCTATATCACAAGCTACCATTTATTATTCAGGCTATTACTTTTAATTATAATTGTGTATTTACTCTTGGAGTGTGTGTATTCCGAAACGCTCATTAAATATCTGTGGTTGTACTGTTCATCATTAGATTAGGCAGTAAACAGTTTCGTTCACTCTTGGAGTGTGTGTATTCCGAAACGCTCATTAAATATCTGTGGTTGTACTGTTCATCATTAGATTAGGCAGTAAACAGTTTCGTTTAAAGAAAACGACTGATCGACATCTACGTCGTGTAGCGTTGCATGATCTACATCTTTAGATTACAAGACTGATAATTTTACTCATGGTTTAGTGGAGATGTCTTTTTGTTTTTTAATATAACAATAACCAAAGGAATTATTAGCTGATTTTATATGTTCTAGCAAACCCATCCAGTCTGTGTTTGAGTTTGATTTATTTGACACCATACAGAAATATAGACGAAATCTCAGCTAAGTGGGAAAAAACAATAGTTTGGGAACCAGCGACGAATTCAATGCATGCAAGTTTTCGAAGGTATAACTATATATATTTCTAAAATACCCACTTTAATGGCGACTTGAGATCTTCGTGAACATATATACAATTAGCAACACTGTAAGCTATATTACTGTTTGTTTTGAATTTCGCGCAAAGCTACACGAGAGCTATTTGCGCTAGCCGTTCCTAATTTAGAAGTGTAAGACTAGAGGGAAGGCAGCTAGTCATCACCACCCACCGCCAACTCTTTTACCAACGAATAGTGGGATTGACCGTCACTTTATAACGCCCCCACGGCTGGAAGGGTGACACCCACCGCCAACTCTTTTACCAAGGAATAGTGGGATTGACCGTCACTTTATAACACCCCCACGGCTCAAAGGGCGAGCATGTTTGGTGTGACGAGGATTCGAACCCGCGACCCTCGGATTGCGAGTCGAGCGCCCTAACTAACTGGCAAGCTATATTATTATAACGTGGTTTCTTTGTCCACTGAAGGTGAAATAAAACAGCCTTACGTGTTTCATATACTAGTTAAATACTTTCTTACCTTTTAGCACCACCGTTGCGTTGTTCTTGTAAACCGTAGAGACCCTAAATGGCCAAAAAAGTAATAGAAAAATAAAAACTTCGGTTGTCATAACGACAACATCATTCCCATGTCCCGTATCGTTTCAACATTTGAATTACAAATCAGCTAGTGACGAAAGTAAAGAGAGTTGATTTTCATGTAGTTATCCAGTAAAAGTCTGAATCTGGAAGACCGTCTCGTTCGTCATATATACCTTACATATAATCACTGATTTATAAATTTTCTTGCTTTTTTTTCGGGGGGGGGGGTGTTTTAGATCACAGTTGAAAACATTTAACATGTGCGAATACGTGAACAGTACATGTTATATATATATATATATACTATTTACTCTGAATTTCTGTATATTACCGCTAGGTGTCTGGAACATAGTAACGAGAAAAAACACACCCTTTTTGCGTGAACTTAAAATTCTTTATTTTATATATATTTTATACATGGATCATTAACATATGAGGAACATGGTAACTGGCTTCCTTTTTTTTTTCTCAAAACACCGACGTTTCGAAACAGTGTGTACAATCTTAGTTCTGTATGGAAACAGCGAAACAGGTTACACGGAAATAATGTTACTTTCCTGCATAGCATTTATTATCATAACACACTACTACCACCTGCCGTTATCATCTAATGGTCACTCAACAATGTCCTAGCGAAAGCAAATGTTGTGCTAACTTAGACCATCATTAAAGGCTTATTTTCCGTCTAATCTATAGCAGCAGAAATATGCAACAACTTGTTGTAGCACGATTTCATTCTACACATTATACAGAGAGAGAGATCTTAGGTAGAATACGGTGTACCAAAAAAAGATGTCAAGAGAACGTACCTCTTTCTTCCAGCCTTATAAAACATTATACTACAAAATACATTCTATATATCTACATTATTACAAACTGTAGTGGTTAGAAAAAGATATATATATTACTTTTATACCTATGATGTGACACACAACTTTGAGCCATTGCATATTGTGATACATATATACGAGTCAAACGAAACACCGTCTTATTGTGAGTTTATCAAAGCTTCAGCTATAAAAAAATGATAGTATTGTGGGGTTAAAGAAAATGTTAAGCCTAGAATCCTATTAACATCTCTGATGAGTCACAAGACATTTCTCAGAAACATATCTTAACGCGTTGTGATGTGTTAACTAAGATAACGCATCAAAAAGAGTCACAATAAATGGCACATTTTTTAGAAACATATCTTAAAATTTTGTTATATTAATTAAGATAACACATCAAAAAGAGTCAGGATAAATGACAAATGTTTAAGAAACATATCTTGACATCTTAACTAAGATAACACATCAAAAAGAGTCAGGATAAATGACAAATGTTTAAGAAACATATCTTGACATCTTAACTAAGATAACACATTAAGTCACAAGAATTAACTTTTCTTTTCCTATGGCAGCAAACTTTGGCGAATCCACACACACAATTATCATAGCTTCAGAAACAGTCTAAAACACTATTGTTGTAAGTCAGATTTATCTACTTGATCAACCTCACGGTGAGGAATTTATTTACAAACTGGCCGTAGCAATCATTGTAATCAGTTTGTATGTCAACACTTCGAAACAGCAAAACAAGAAGTCGGAAATGTGGAATATTCCTGGTTCCCGTTTTGTAGCTTTCGAAGTTTTGTTCCCTAACAGCCCAAGTAAAAATTACGATATTTATATACAAAACTATACATGGTATATATTACCCATTTTTGTACTTTGGTATAGTTATTTCAACACGTTTAACAACACGTTTCTTTAGGTTGCTATTCCAGTACTCAAAAAACCTAGATTACTGTTATCTGCGTATTTGCAACGTAATATTATCAAAATAAAATGCATTTTTTTTTGTGGATTGAGTTTGAAAAAAAAATCTTGCATTCTGTTTTTATGGCAAAGCAACTAAGGCTATCTGTCACCGTCCCTAGTTTTAAACTACTGACCAGAGTGAAGGCAATCAGTCAGGAGCAGCCTAACTCCACTCTAACGGATTGACTGTCACACTTATAATGTACCCTCAGCTCAAAGTGTGGGGAATATTTTGTCGTATCGCACGGATTCGAATTTGGCTCCCCAGCTTCGAAATTCAGAGCTCTATCCCATGGACAACCCGCACCCATTATACAAAGCAGTTGAGACAACAGCACTTAGACACAAATTGGAACAAAATTGTATTTTCTCAATACGTGTCTATGTAAGACTGCTTTATAATTTTAAAATAGCTATTTTCTCACTTTTTTTCCCTTTCTTTTCTTGGCCACACTTTTCTCGATGTAATACTGATTATTATCCATATCGATTCTATATTGGGGAATTTCTATCATCATGGTTGTATGTATTCTATACTAGGAATTTTCTATCATCGTGGTTGTATGTATTCTATACTAGGAAATTTCTATCATCGTGGTTGTATGTATTCGATACTGGGAAATTTCTATCATTATGGTTGTATGTATTCTATACTGGGAAATTTCTATCATCATGGTTGTATGTATTCTATACTAGGAATTTTCTATCATTATGGTTGTATGTATTCTATACTGGAAAATTTCTATCATCATGGTTGTATGTATTCTATACTAGGAAATTTCTATCATCGTGGTTGTATGTATTCTATACTGGGAAATTTCTATCATCATGGTTGTATGTATTCTATACTGGGAAATTTCTATCATCATGGTTGTATGTATGTATTCTATACTGGGAAATTTCTATCATCATGGTTGTATGTATGTATTCTCTGTGTATCTTATTTCTAAGTTTAATCCTTAGCTGGGTGCTTTTAGGCACGTGATCTTTCGAGGCTGAAAGAGACTCGTATCAAAACTCAGCCATTTGTGTGTGTTCAGTGATAAGAGGGGACTTGCACAAGATTGGGTGAAAGCTATGATTGGTGGGTCACGTTCTCGGAACGATACAGAAAAGGCGGCCGGTGACCACAGGCCCTGTATAATGTTACAGGTTTGACTGACAAGTGCGGGACGGATCTGGGTAAGCAGAGCGTAACGGGGACTGATTACTGCTGTACAACCACTATCCAATAATAGAGCAGATAAGTGAGAGGTGATACAGATCGAGATAAGACTCAGCCAAACTCAAATCCCACGGCGTCAAATGTTTATAAGTAACGCAAAATAAAAACATATGCAACTAATAGATAACGAAGAGAAACAGTCAGTACCAAGCGATAATTATTTAATTCCCCAACGTTTCACCTTACGGATTTATCATAAAATACTCCGGTTGCACTACGCTGTCTGAATCTTCTGAATTAACAGATAATTCAATACCTTAGTTTTGTCCAAAATAAATGATGTAGGGATGCTAACGAAAATTCAAAGGACCTTTCTTCTGATGAGTTAAGTAGAAATTGTTAAAATACCACATGATTCAGTTAATTAAATAGCACGTGCTTTTAAAATCAAGCAGTCTGTTTTCCGGGGCTGGTCTGAATACCGATCAAAAGGTGCGTTCCCACCAAGTTATCCTGTACCCCATTTTTCATAATTACCGCACGTGTATTCTGACAAGTTTTTGTCCTATAGCCTTCTACTTCAAACTACTGCAGACTTGTTTCCGGTTTATCAAATGACAGGAAAATTCAGGTCATCTTTTGTCTGTCCAAACACAGACTGTAGTTGCTTCGGTCAGTAATTGACTCTGTTTCGGACCTTATAATTAGCCAACATTTGTGTGACAAAGTTAATATCTAAAGCTAGGGGGCTACATAAGATCAATAAAAACTTGAATATTCCGTTCACTCAGTATCCACCTAGAGTAACGTTCTTGATGTACGACTTGTGAGATAGTTTACCAAGTATTCCCAGTATTTTCACATAGTATTTACATGATTCAAGAACAACAACAATGTCACACCTTGAGTTGAATAAAAATATGTGCACGTAACGCTTGAACAATGTTTTTTTTTTGTAATCACATTATGAGGCAGACTAGACAACGAACACTTCTAAATATGGAAATTAATTATACATGTTCATTTGTACTGCCGTGTTTACAGTACTGAACTATCACTTACGTATGAACATATTTCTATGAGGAAACATAAATATAACTACACATATACACACGAATCTGTTACCAATCTTTATAAACAGATTGTTTGTAAGCTACCTTTACCATAACATCGAAATTTACTGTTTTTGATTATTATACGAAAAAAGGAGGAACCATTCTTCATGGTAACGTTATTTAGAATCATTATTTGGCATTGTAAGGAATAAAAAAGGAAACTTTGGTCGATTGAAGTAGCTGACATCTTCAGAAAACTCCATTTTTTTTGGTGCCACTGTTCGTATAGCATCCGCAAGAGACACAAAACAATTCAAGGTCCAGAAAGAGTATTTCCCAGTCCAAAGGAAAATTTGAGATACATGAAATGCACAACGACGTCACATCCCCGTAAGATGGGTGAGTTTGGGTGGAATCTTAACGGACGGAGACTTTGGGTGGTACTGCTGGACACTTTGGGGCGGCGTCCACTCGTCTGACTTGGTGTATTCATAAGGCTGACAATACGCTGCCTGGGTGTGGACGTGGATATGGGGATACGCCGATTGTTCTAAGATCTGATAACGCTCGCATTGTGGGGACTGAGAAATGTCGGGAAATGTTGTTGGTCTATTCACAGAAGGATTGAGGTCCATCATATTGCTGTGGTCAATCCTCTGGCGTTGAAGGTCCGGTTGCAGGCTATAAAATCGAGTGGATTGCAGACTTTCATGCGACGCAGTTGGATCAGTGATGGAGATTGTTGGTCCACAGATGTCTAGATCTAAATTTGAAGAACCATGAGGATGTTGAATCTTGTGGTTAGACAAGGTACTAGGATTCATATGAGAAGAACTGGATTCCTCGGGAACGACCAAATTTGTAGTCGTCATGGCAACTTCAGACGAAGGTGCAAAAATAGATCTTTTCAGTTGAAACAATTTTTCATGCTGTTGGCAGCTAGGGCCATAAGATGAGGAGCAGTCTGATCTGAACATACCGCAAGGTAAGTCTGTCATTATTGTGGCACCAGAGGACGTGGAGATCGTGGGCATGTTTGTAGCCGAAGATGTCGGCACATCAACAGCCAAACTCGTGGGGAGAAGTAATGGGGAACTGATACAACATTCTGAATTTGGACTAGAAGACTTCTCCTGGAGACTCTTTTGGTCCTTCTTGTATTTCATACGTCTGTTTTGAAACCAAATTTTAATCTGTCTCTCAGTCAAGTTTAGGAGATTTGCCATCTCAATACGTCGAGGCCGACACAAATAACGATTAAAGTGAAACTCCTTCTCCAGTTCCACCAACTGGGCGCTGGTGTAAGCTGTCCTGACTCTCTTCGTAGGCTGGTGGTCGAATTCTGAGAGATTAAAAAGAACAACTGTTAACACTTTCCTGATTTGCTATATACAAACAACAGAACATGAAAAACATGAATTTCTATAGAATTTGATTATATATATTCACAAATTGAAGTAAGTACAAATATGTATTAGGATATCAAATCATTTGCTCCCCCCCACGAGATTCGATCCCAAACTTAACGGAGAGACGAAAAGCCATTAAGTTAATGAATTATCCCACTATTAACCCCCTCCCCCCGTTATCGAACATGCTCGCTCCTTCATTCGTGTGTGTGTGGGTGGGGGGGGGAGTTATAATGTGATGGTCAATCTTACTAGTTGTTGGTAAAAAAAAGTAGCCCAAGAGTTGGCGGTGGTGGTGTTGACTAGCTGCCTTCCTTCTTGTCTATCACTGCTAAATTAGGGACGGTTAACGCAGATA